CTGATTGGCAATGGCCATTTTGTCCGATCGAGTGTATCCTCTCTGCGGGAGCGTTGGCATTTCATGTCCGCATTTATGGTGTCCTCCCACCGCTGTTTTGGCCTTCCTCTCAGCCGGTTCAACTTCAAATCGATATGCAACAGCAGCGATGGTATCACGCTCTGCTCGCAAAACGTGGCCATACCACTGAAGCCGCCTCTCTTGCATTTTCTCGGCGATTGGTGCGACACCCATCTGGCATAGAATCACGTATTTACTGATTCTGTCGAGGCGTGAAGTGCCTACTGACATCCGCAGCATTCGCATCTCCATGCCGTGGAGTTGGCGCTCTGCACTTTTGGTAGCTGGTTAGCATTCGGACCCGTACAGTGCCACGGGTCGAACCATGGTCCGGTATATCTGTGACTTCAGGCGAAAAGGCATGCTTTTATCACATAGCACGCCAGTTTCTCCCTCCATCTCATCCATGCCGCGTTGACTCTCATTCGTATCTCATCATCGACACCTCCTGTACTCTGCAAGCGGGACCCTAGGTACCTAAAAGACATCGTTTTTGCCCTGCTAGTTTTCAGAGAGCAAAATCACCTTTGAGAGACAGACAAAAGGTAAGCTCTCAATGTAACCTTGAAAAAGTAAGGAAGCAATGAGCGAGTAAAGGCTCTTTCCAAGGCCAGCCTGCCAAGGACGGTTGGTATTCTGACGGGAGTTGTTTTTACTTATCAGTAATTTTGGAAAAGCAACATCGAACGTGCTAGAAATGGCAAGATGAGATTGCCTTAAACAAGGGAATGTAGGTGCAGCTGAATAGTTGCGAACATGCACCATGTACAGCACCATGTACAGGGAACATGCACTCTTGCCTTCCTTAGCAAAAATATAGCATTCCTTTAGAGAGAAAACGTTTGAGAAGGGCGCAAAAGGCACTGTACATCCAAGTCTTTTTCTCGATCTGAATAGGCCCAAGCAAAGCGGTAACTGCTAGCGAACTATTTTTCAGACATGTTTGAGCAAGCACTCATGTATTTGCGTTGCCATTTTGCGCCAGAAGCAAAAATTCAAGCGGAGCAAGGGTCCGATCCCAAGACCCCATACTGCCCGCGAAACAAGCAGGAAAGGCTTCGAACTCTGTTGAGGAATCGTTGTGCATACTTCAAAGCAGGTCTGATATTAGCCCTAGAGAGAGGGCCAATCAGACCCGCCGGATTCGCCAGCCAATCCTCCCTATTCGTTACAGCGTGGGTGTCTCCATATCACATCTTCACTGACAGTTCTGCTTGGTGGGGGTATCTCCGGTTTATTTTGTACTGTATAATCTTACATTTTCAAAATTGTTGCTTCTCATCGATCACTGCCTATGCCCCTAGAGAGCTGGGAATTACAGTGAAGCTATGCAACAGTAGGTTCACTACTTGCAATAAATGTAAGATTATACAGCT